TGGGAGCTTTGAGATGGAAAGCAAAAGGAGCTAAACTGGCTGGAATGGAGGCAACCACGTTGACAATAATGATCAGCCTTTAACAAAGTTTTAAAGAATATGAATTAGAGCTGGGCATGGTGGGAGGCCGATGGGGGAAGATAGAAAGTTCAAAACCAGCCTGAGGCCCTAAGCAACTTAGCAAGACCCTGTCTCAGAATAAAAAGGTCTGGGAATGTGGTTCAGTACTTAAACATCCCTGAGGTCAGTACCTGGTACAAACAAAAAAAGAAATATGTATGTATGTGTGTGTAATATATATATATATGTATATATATATATATACACACACACACATATATAAAATATTAAATATATATGATTTTATATATATAAAATTTGAAAAATTGGTTTATTAGTCCAATATGTATCCACAAAATTTTGTTTCCAGTCTTTTTATCCATAATTTTTTTTCCCTGGGGAAGGGCTGAAGATTGCATCTAGGGCTGATCCACTCTGTATGTGCTGTTCCAGAGTTATACTCCAGCCCTACCCACTCAAATATTTTGGTCATTTTTGGTACTGGGGATTTACCACTGAGCTACACCTTGGCCCTTTGTATTTTTTATTTTGAGACAGAGTCTTGCTAAGTTGCTGAAGCTGGCCTCAGATTTGTAATTCTGCCTCAGCTTCCCAAGTCACTACTACAGGCATGTGCTACTGTGGCTGGACTACCCCTTAATTTTTTGAAGGGAATTCTATACTATATACAATTTTATGTTTAAATACTGCAGTATGAGTGTCTAAAGTATAGAGCCACTTTTCTTTTCTTTTAAATACTGGGGATTAAACCCAAGTAGTCATGTATGCTGGTCAAGTGCTCTACTGTGGAACTTTACCCCCAGTATTTTATTTGAGACAGGGTCTCTTTGAGTTGCCATGGCTGGCCTCTAACTTGTGATTCTCCTCACAGCCTGGCACAAGAGGATGCTACTATTCCTGGTGTGTCATTTTTCTTTGGTACTGGGAATTGAACCCAGTGGCACTTTACCACTGAGCCACATCCCCATCCCTTTTTATTTTTATTTTGAGACAGGGTCTTGCTTAGGGCCTTGCTAAATTACTAAATCTGGCCTTGAATTTGTAATCCTCCTTGCCTCAGCTTATCAAGTCACTGGGATTATGGGTGTTCACCAGTGCACCTACTAAAAGATTCATATTTAAATTAGGAAAAAAGGAGATATGTTTGTGATTGAAATATATGCTACTCATTGCTTGATTGTTTACTTTTTTTCTCTTTATGTTGAAGAAACCTTGTCAGCTGACCTGTCAGATATCATAGGGCCATAGTCTCTTGGGACTCTGGCTGACTTCAGGAGAGAACGCTGAGGGGTTGCTGGCTTCTCACTTCAGAGTTCCTGGAGACCTACTGGAAAGGGTCACCTCGGGCATCTTTATGCACAATGGCCTTTAAAGCCCTCCTGGAAGAGCTTCATACAGCAGCCAGTTGCCCCAACTGCCASGGTTATCTAACAGATGCAGTGACTATTCAATTTGGGCACAACCTCTGTCGCTCTTGCATCTCCCAGCACTGCAAAGATCTACAGGATATCTTCCCCTGTCCTGTCTGTTTCCATCACTGCTGTACCAAGAACCTCAAAAAAAACACCCAGTTATGCAACATGGTTCAGACTGTCATGAGGCTGCCTGATCCAAGAGTTAAGAGGAGACCCCTGGGTGAGAAGCACAGTGAGGTTCTGGACTTGTTCTGTGAGGAGGTCCTGGAGTTCTTGTGTCCCCAGTGCAGAGTCTCCTCCAACCACCAGGATCACGACCTGACACCCATTAATCAAGCTGCAGCTCCTTCTCAGGACAAAGCTCAAAAACCACATTAAGCTCCCCAGGGAGCAAATTGAAGGTGCTGAAATTGGGTGTGAACTACAAGTTTCAAAATGCATTAAAGGGAGATGGGAGATGGGAAATTGGAAGAAGGAATTACACACTGAATTTGAAGAACTTAAAGACTTCTATAGAAAGGAACATATTAAAACACAGCTAAGGCTAATTATAGAAGAGACGATTGTAGAAGAAAAATTAKTTGAAAACAAAAGCCAAATTTTAGCCCACGTAGCCACATTAGAAAGCCTATTAAATGAAGTAAGAGAGAAATATATACAAGCAGACCCGGATTTACTTGGAAGTATTAGAAGCATTAACAGCAGGTACAACGACATAAAACCCCCAGCAGTTTTTTCATATGAATTCAAGACAGAGTTATGATTCCCCTCTACRTTGTTTTGATCTGAAAAAAATGATCAGCACATTTCAAATAAATTTGACTTTAAGTTCTCAAACCTCCCACCCTAATCTGAAATATGAAATGATGAACTCAAACGATTATCTCCCCAGCCATCTACTTTCTTTGCAGCTGCCTGGAGTCATGAGAGATTTGAAAGTGGGAGACATTTTTTGGCAAGTAGAAGTGAGAGGCACAGGTGAATGAATGGTCCTTAGGTGTGTATAGTGAATCCTCTGGAAAAGATTTGACATCAGTTTGTCCCAGCAATGGTTTCTGGCAAATTGTGCAGTCCACAGATGTATCACAAGTCAAACAAGTCAGGTGGATTGGAGTTTTTCTGGATTATGAGTTGGGAGAGGTTTCATTTTATAATTTGAATAGCAGATCATGTATGAGTACTTTGACTAAAGACTTTAGAGAAACACTTGTGCCTTTTTTCTCTATTGAATGTTCCTCAGAATCTCTTACAATCACTATTGTCAGAGAGGAATTAACTATTGTCGGGAATTATGAACTGGCCTGGAGGACCATTTCCTATGTTTATATTTTATTTTATGCTCTTGTAGGGTACTTGTAATAAAGATTTTGATTCCACTTTGTTGGCTGGCTGTTAATCTTTCAGGACCCTCCCTTCTGCTCCACACCAGGCACCAGGGCAAAACAAAGTCTAGGTGCTCCCTATTTGGGCACAGGTAGGAGGTCTAAACCTTCACACCAGCCCACGCTGTGATCTCCATAACAACCCCATTGAGTCTTCTTTCCCTCCCTCCCTCCCTTCCTTCCTTCCTTTTCTTTCTTTCCACCTTAATCTCCCCATAACCGTTTTGGGAATAATTTGTCATGTTTTGTGTGTGGCATCATCTGTCCTTTCATGGTGCTGAGGATTGAACCTAGTGCCTCACACATGCTAGGCAAGTGCTCTGCCACTGAGCTCCAGCTCCAGCCCTCTTCTTATTTTTTGAGATAGGGTCTTGCTAAGTTGCTGAGACTGGACTTGAACTTGCTAACTGGCTCCAGTGTCTGACAAGAGTGCACTTTAGCTCTGCTGCTTTGTATTGCATTTGCTGAGTTCTGCAGAGGATGAGATTTAACAGATACACAGATTCTCTCTGGCCTTGGCACTGGGAATTGATCCCAGGGACACTGAGCAACGTCCCTAGTACTTTTTCAAATTTTGAGTCAGGGTCTTGCTAAGTTGCTGAGGCTGGCCTTGAACTTGTGATCCTCCTACCTTAGACTCCCAAATTGCTGAGATTATAGGTATGTACCATAGCTCCCAGCTTTGATCTATGAAGTTTCTATAACTCTTGGCATTTGGGGGCAAGAGTATGGATTCAGGTCTATCATGTGTCTCTAGGTCCTATATCAGTTCAGATCTATGTCTGGCTTTGAACTGTGTCTAGATTCCTCCCTAAGTGTGACTAGATTCCTCCCTAAGTGTGACTAATGTAGAATCTAATGGAAGAATCTAAGCTGTGACTGATTGGCACTGGCTCTTGTTCTATAGAGCACCTGGGTGTTAGAATATACCCCGTTTCATATGTGAGCTCATTATGAAGTCACTTATGTTAAGCAAGAATAGTCAATATGTGAAAAGCCATCACTATTCAATTATTTCTTTTTTATATATTTTTGTGGTGCTGGACATTGAACCCAAGGACTCACATGCTAAGCAAGTGCTCTACGTGCCAGGCACACTGATGCACCCCTATAATCCCGGTGACTTGGGAGGCTGAAGCTGGAGGATTATAAATTTAAGACAGACTTGGCAACTTAGCAAGACCCTCATTAACTTAGTAAGACCCTGTCTCAAAATAGAAAAAAATCTGGGGATGTAGCTCAGTGGTGAATCACTCCTGAGTTCTATCCCTAGTACCACAAAAGAAAAAAGATTCATTGGAGACACTCATTTAAAACCCAGGTATGCTGATAAAGGAGTTTATACAAAGGGTCATTGATTCACACTTGGTACAAGATTCTCTCACCTGTAATCCAAGCAATTTGAAGTTAGGCAAGAGGATTGCAAGTTTGAGGCCAGACTAGGCAATTTGGTGAGATCTTGTTTCAAAATAAATAAAAAGGGCTGGGGAAGTAGCTCAGGGGTGAAACACCCCTGGGTTCTATCTCCAGTACTGAAGGGGGAATTTTTTTTCTCTTTTATTTGGTTAAATTTCTGAACATTAGTAAATTAAAAGCACCTCTATCCCTGACACTGTCAAGAAATACCTTTGACTCAACATCCCAATGTGAAGATGAGCTTAACATCTTTTGGACATTATTGGATTCTGGAGACAATATAAAATTTGTTTAAGGGGCTGTTGATATAGCTCAGTAGGAAAGTGCTAATACATGTGAGGCCCTGGGTTCAATCCTGAGTACACCCCAAAAGGTTTTTTTTTTTTTTTTTTTTTTTTGCTTAAGGCCATTTGTGCTGTTATTTACAAATCAGTCCACTTTTAATGTCTGGCCTCCCAAGGCTCTAGAATCTTCCAGAATCTGGATTGCAATATTGTCTGATAGAACCTGTTCTGCTTGGGAGACTTGGAATAAAGAATTCTCTGGGGCTGGGGATGTGGCTCAAGCAGTAGCGCACTCGCCTAGCATGCGTGCGGCCCGGGTTCGATCCTCAGCAGCACCACATACCAACAAAGATGTTGTGTCCGCCGAGAATTAAGAAAAAATAAAACGTTAAAATTCTCTCTCTCTCTGTCCCCCTCTCTCTCTCTCTTAAAAAAAAAAAAATTCTCTGGTGTCGGGTGCACATCTGGATAATAATATTAGATATTAATAATAATATTATTAGATAATAATATTAGATAATAAATTATCTAATTTTTCTAATCTACACCTCTAGGGACATTATTGTATAGGCTTCAGCAACTTATTCTCATGCTTCATGGAAACTGAACCATGAGTTGCTCTAAGCTCTTTTATTGTTCCTGTTCTTTAAATAAAAACCTTTCTTATATTCTAAATGGATAGCCATCCACGTGGAGGAAGTCCTCCAACCACATACTCTCTTCTCTGGCCCTTGGACTTCTCCCATGGCAGGAGCTATAGATGGGATCTTCACAATACAAACTTCTAATTTCAGTGCCTTATGCCTTATGTCTAGTGACAGCACACAAAGTCAGCTGGATGAAGAGTTAAATTAGATAGATGCCTACCTGGGGTGTGTGAGATCAAAGAGACGTGGCTTAGAAATGCAGATCTGACAGTGTTCAGCTCCTCTATGAATGGGTTTTCTGTAAGCAATGGGTGTAACATGTCAGAATTCCCAGACTATTCCAAGCCCAAGGTTTTGCTATTAGGCCTGAAGGGAAGCCTGGATCTACCCCCTCCCCCAATAAAATATCCCTGCAGTGTCATGCAATATGCAACTGCCTGATAGAGCCTGTTCTGCCTGGGAGACTTGGAATAAAGAATTCTCTGGTGTCGGGTGCACATCTGGATTCTAGCAACTCAGGAGCCTAAAGCAGGAAGATTACAAATTCAAGGCCAGCCTGGGCAACAGCTTGATCCTGTCTCAAAAAGGGTTGGGGATATAGCCTAGTAGTAGAAACCCCTTGAGTTAAATTCCTAGTACCAATAAATAAATAAATATATTAAAAATAAATTTAAAATTCCAGGAGTCAACTGGAAAGAGAGAAGACAGAGAGTTAAGTAATCTGCTAAGCTGAGAAGATGTAGTACGATACCAGTCAGCAAGTTCCTGAAAAATCTGAGAAAACTGAAATTCTGACGGAATGCATACTAGTGTATTTGGACACCAGATCACTGATTAAAATTWAAAAAAAGTTTCAGAGCCGTGGTGGAGTCAAATGACTGACTACATATTACAGGTAGAGAAAGACACACTCTTTCCTGAAGTCTCTTAGTCTACAGGATGTATTTAACATGGAACATTTGTTTGTTTTGAAGGCAGGGTCATGGGAAACATAAAGTGGCTCTCAATTTCATTTTAGAGATATTACGTACAGTTTCTGCACCACATCACAAATCAAGAAAAGGATCAGCCCCCAAGAAGTACTATCTGGCACTATTTTAAATAATTGGTGTCTATTAACTCACTAATCTTCAGAGCATTAGTACTGTAACTTTTTTTTTTTTTTGGGTGATGCTAGGGATTAAACCCAGGATTTTGCACATGCTAGGCAAGTGCTCACCACTAAGTCACATCCCCTGTTATGGTGTGAACTGATAAATTCAATCAATAAGAGTGTAAGTTATAGGGTATAGATTAGTAAAAAAATTAGATTATAGATATAAGATTTTGACAAGTGAGATAAGACAATTATAAAGCAAGAATAGTCAGACAGGCCCAAGACCCATTTTGCTGCCTTCTATAAAAAACTGTTATAAGAGCGGTTTCTAAGAAACTGAAATGAAAGCTGTTTTCTTATAAAAATTGTTTTTCTGTACTTTGTACCCCACAAATTTTACCCTACTCAGGGTACAGGGGTGGTCGTGGCAAGCTACATCCTGGGTTTGAATGCCCTTGTGGGTCTACTTGACTTTGAAGTAGATTCTCACCTGCCGACCCCCACCCAAATTCAGGATACAACTTTCTAGCACCAGCTTGAACCCGGGATTGTG